ACGGCGCTTCCGGGTTTTCAGTTGCTTCCGGGTTTTCAGTTGGAAGTGCTTCCGGGTTTTCAGTTGGAAAGCGGTGTTTGGGTGCTCGCACCTTAGTTTCGTCGAAGGGGGGGGGCGGCTTCGAACGAAGAGCCGTCCCGATGGTGGTGGAGTCTCGTGTTACTCAGGTACCGGTCCGTGGAAGAATAAATAATCGTGAAACTGGTCCCTGGTTCAAAAAAGGTTGGGGGCCACTGCAGTAGGTGACCTTGTTACACAACACACCGGCCCCGCAAGTCTACTATACTATGTTGACATGAAGTTATTTTCTGTTCAGAAGTCTGACAGCCCACAGGTAGAAACTGTTCTTCAGCCTGTTGGTGAAAAACAGCTTCTATCCCAGGGCAGTAGCTCTGTTGAATTCTACTGTATAATGCAGCGTTGGTGCTGTGTCGGGGGTTTTGGTTCAATGTGTGAAGTGTGAAGGATGTGTGTTTGTGTTTATTTTCATGGTCATGATGTGCACTGAAGATGGTGTTTGATTTCATTGTATGAGGTGCAATGACAATAAAGTAAAGTAAACTAAAGTAAACTATATCTCCTACCCTATGGTATGAGAGTGAAGAAGTACTGACTGGGGTGTGAGTCATCCCTGAGATTTTTCCTCACTCTTCTAAGGCAGCGAGCCCTAGCAAGGTCATCTAGTGGTGTCAGGGAACAGCACACGATGTTTTGTGCTGTGCTCACCACCCTCTGTAGTGTCTTTCTATCCGTGGCTGTCAAGCCAGCATACCACACCGTCATGCAATATGTGAGGACGCTTTCTATTTATCTATCGATTAAAGGAGGTTATCAGTCATTGTTCCACGTCATTCTTTTGCAAGACCCTAAGGAAATGGAGTCCCTGTTGGGCCTTTCTGGCCACCTGGGGTATGTTGATTTTCCAGGTAAGATCTTCGCTGAGGTAGACTCCCAGGAATTTAAAGGAGGAAAGTATCTCCACACAGCCCCCCTCGATGTAAATTGGGGCGGGTTCCTCTCTCTTCTTCTGGAAGTCTAACACCATCTCCTTTGTCTTGCTGATGTTTAGGTGCAGGTTGTTTTCTAGGCACCATGAGGATAATTTTTGAACCTCCCCCCCCCCGTACGCTGCTTCATCTCCACCTGTAATGAGACCCAATATGGTATTATTGTGATGAGAAAGGAGTTCTCTTTGCTTTCAGGCTCTGGCGATCTTTGAAGAAGTTGCTGTCTGCTTTAAGGAGGAGGAGTGGACGTTGCTGAATGCAGACCAAAGGATTTTGCCTCGTGAAGTCATGGAGGAGATTCAGAAGACGCTGGCTTCCTTGGCTAAGGAACAAGGGTAGGCTTCAAATTTTTTTAGCAAGGGGCACTCTGACCTAATGATTGGGTGGGTGTGGCTGGGTGGATGTGGCTAGGTGGTGGTGTGATCAGGTGGTCATGTGATCTGGTGGGTGTGGCTAGGTGTTCATGTGGCTGGGTGGGTGTGGCCAACTTGATGTCGCTTCTTTGCCCTAATTACCTACAAAAAGATAGTATACCAAAAAGTTGTTTATTATTTTGGTGCATTTAATACTTAAGCCAAGGGTCTTCAAATGTGGCAAATTTAAGACTTGTGGACTTCAACTCCCAGAATTTCTGAGCTAAGATGACTGGAGGAGGAATTCTGGGAGTTGAAGTCCACAAGTCTTAAAGCTGTCAAGTTTGAAGACCCCTGACTTAAATAAAAGACTGGGGGAAACCAGGCTTAATAGAAGTGACTGTGAGAGGGATCTTGGAGCCTTAGTGGAGTTTCTTGTGAGTTACGTGATTCTTATTATTTGGGAATTAATCCCCTCGAAGGCTTAGTGGCTATGCTGTCTGATTTTCTCAATGGCTCTCCCTCGCAAGCACTGAGTGGATTGTTTATCTAGCTTGCAACATTTTTACAAGGTGTTAAATGCTCTTGGCTGAACGCCCAGAAGTTCAATTAAGCCTATTAAGAGCTTTCCCTTGCTGCTTGTTTTTCTGAGGTTACTGGGGGCTCTCCGAGCCCTGCAGTCTTAGGTAGGGGCTCTCCTGAGCCCCTGCAATCCCCCAGCAGCCCACCCCTGGTAAAGATCCTTACCTCCTCTATTTGATTAAGAGGGATTCCCTAAGCTAGGCATTACCTTGTGAAAGAATGTCAGTCGTGTATTTCACCTTTACATCCTGTGTAGAAAAACAGCACATAACAGGTGAGTAAAACAAGGACCCAGATTGTTGGGGACAATATGCTGACTCTGTAAACTGCTTCAAGAAGGCTGTAAAAGCACTGATACATAAGCTATTGCTATAACAGAATGACAGAGTTGGAAGGGACCTTGGAGATCTTCTAGTCCAAACCCCTGCTCACTCAAACCCTGTCCCATTTCACACAAATGATTGTCCAATCTCTTCTTAAAAACTTCCAGGGTTGGAGCATTCACAACTTCTGGAGGCACGTCGTTCCCCTAAATTAATTTAAAACGACTATTAATTGTTCTCACTAAAGTTAAATTCTTGCAGCTAGACTAACCTTCTTTGCAAATAGGTTTTTGTATCATGTTAGCTCTTGTTACCTTCTTTGTAGCTAAGAATTATCTGCCTCTAATTGCTTTCTGGCTAAGCCAGGGATCCTGTTTAGATTGAAAAATATGTGTGGATTAGGAACCTTTAGTTTTTATTATTATAATACCATGTTTCTCATATAATAAGGCCGGGTCTTATTTTTTTTTGAGCCCCCCAAAAATGGCTAGGCCGTCTTTTTGGGGGTGACTTAATTTCCCCCCCTTGCATCTTCGGGCGGGCAGCGACGGCTTGGATGTTGACCTTGGCGTTGGTGGGGCACTTTGTATCGGGGTCAACGCAGGCAGCACCATATCCGGGTGTGCAACAAAAGTACTTCCTAACGGCAAGCCCCCCCACCATTCCTCCCATTTCACATGTTTTAACATAGGCCTTAATTTGGGGGGAGGGGCTTAATTTCATTTCATGCCTATAAAACATGCTGGGACTTCCTATTGGGGGAGGCCGTATTGTTGGAGAAACATGGTACTTTATTTGCAGTCACAGGCCAAAACACAAGTACAATAAAAGAAGAAATGGGAAAATTAATCATGAACAATTGGTCACCAAAAATTTGACTAAGGGGAATTACAGCGTTCTCCTCTGATGGTTACAGCTCTTTAAAAAAAATTGGAAACCTGAGAACTGATGTATGAGGAGCCATCCCCTAGACAATATAAGAACAAATTACTAACATTGGGTCTAGAAGGGTCAGTTTCAAGGAGACACAGTAACTTAGATCTGCCTATGTTATATATAGGGCAATATAAAAGCACATGCTCCACAGTTTCAACCTCAGCTCTGTCATAGGGGCATAGCCACTCGTTGATCAGGAGCCTCTTAAATCACCCATCCAGTAGTGCTGAGGGCAAGACATTAAAACGAGCTAGGGAGAAAGCTCTTCTATACTTGGGAATGGTTAGAGTGTAAAAATAGGAAGCCAGCCTCAGTCCGTAATACCTTTAGTTTTGATTATACAGGTGTTCCTTGACTTACAACAGTTCCTTTAGTGACCATTTGAAGTTACAATGGCACTGAAAAAAGTAATATGACTATTTTTCACACTTATGACTATTGCAGCATCCCCATGATCCCATGATCAAAATTCAGATGCTTGACGATTGACTCATATTTATGACAGTTGTAATGTCTCAAGATTATGTAATTACCTTTTGGGGCCTTCTGAGAAGCAAAGTCAATGGGAAGGCCAAATTCTCTGTTACTTAACAACTGCAGCATTTGTTTAGTGGCAAGAATGTCATAAATTGGAGCAAAGCTCACTTAACAACTGTCTCGCTTAGCAACAGAAATTTTGGGCTCAGTTATTGTCGTAAGTTGTTGACTTGGCTATATAAGCAAGTTCTTTCTGTTTTATTTCTGGGTAGAAGCAGAGATAAAAATGTTTGTTCTCTTCATGTTTTTACCACTCGAGCTAGAAATGCATTGCACTTTTATAAATGTATAGCCCTTTTTATATCCATTTTGATTTTCTGTCAAAGGAATTCTTCTGGCTCTGGATCAGATGCCCCTGTTAGATGAAAATCTGCCAGCTGAAGGCTTCAAGGAAGAAGTAGACAACTTTACAGGCAATTTGTCAGTTGGTCGATGGGATCCTGGTGAATCAGGTAAGTTGGGTGGGGAGATGTGAGAGATTTTTGGGGAAGCTGGGAAAAATGGATGAGTAGAGTAGAGTAGAGTAGAGTAGAGTAGAGTAGAATAGAATAGAATAGAATAGAATAGAATAGAACAGAACAGAACAGAACAGAACAGAACAGAACAGAACAGAACAGAATAGAATAGAATAGAAATGGAATGGAACTCCCGGACTGGTCCCCGTTCTTTCCCACTGTCCGATTCCGCTGCTGTCTGCACAGGCTGCTGGCGAACCACAACAGAACCTAACATTCAGCATTTATTTCTCTTTGTCCCCCCATTTGTCTCGTCTGCAGTTCACCCCAAATCTCTTTCTCCATTGGTGTCTTTTCTCTCTTTGTTCTTGCAGGTGATGAAAAAGAGAACACTACAAATAGCAAAGGGCAAAGCAGGGAAACTGTGCCGCATCAGAGAAGGAAAAAGAGACCCATTTCAACTGAAAATGTGAGATTTGATGAATTCCGGGTGCAGCAAGGAGGCTGTGCAGGAAAAATAGGCAGCCAAGATCTGGCAGGAAAGAGTAGGCAATTCTCCTCTTCTTATGGAAAACTATTGGCTGAGATCTCCAGCCCTGCAACCCCAAGCAAAGTCCTGGAATTGGAAAGGTCATGCAAGGGTTTGGAGTGCGGGAAGGGTTTCAAAGAGAAGATGCACCTTGTGGTACATTAGCGAACTCACACAGGGGACAAGCCATTTCAGTGTTCAGACTGCCGGAAGAGCTTCAGTTGGAGTCATCACCTGATTGGCCATCAGAGGACCCACTCAGGAAAGAAACCATTTCAATGTCCCGAGTGCGGGAAACGTTTCATTGATAACAGCAACCTCACCAAACATAAACGAATCCACACGGTTGAGAAGCCATTTAAATGCGCAGAGTGTGGAAAGAGCTTCAACCACAGTAGCACCCTCTCCTCCCACTGAAGGATCCACAAGGGGGAGAAACCATACACATGTGCCGATTGTGGGAGGAGTTTCAGCCAGTGGACAAACCTGAACACGCATCAGTGGCTGCATACAGAGGAGAAACCCTACAAATGCTCGGAATGTGGAAAGGGCTTCTGTCAGAGTAGCAATCTGTCTTATCATCAGAGAACCTATGCGGGGGAAAAACCATATAAGTGCTCTCAGTGCGAAAAGACCTTAACGTGTGCCAGCACACTTGTATTACACCAGAGGATCCATAGTGGAGAGAAACCGTTTGCTTGCTCGGAATGTGGTAAGAGCTTTACTCAGCAGATACAACTAACTCAACACCAGAGAATCCACACTGGAGAAAAACCGTATGAGTGCCCAGACTGTGGGAAACACTTCAGGAAGTGGACGAGTCTTACGACACATCAGAAAGGGCATACGTTGGAAAAACCATACATATATTTAGAGTACGGCAAGAGTTTCTCTCAAAATAGCGGTCTGTCGTACCATCAGAAATCTCATGCTGGTGACAAGCCGTATAAGTGCTCTGAGTGTACACAAAGCTTTGCTTATAGCAGTACTCTCACTTTACACCTGAGAATCCACTCTGGGGAGAAGCCGTTTGCTTGTACCGAGTGTGGAAAGAGCTTTACTCAATGGATACACCTGACTCGACATCAGAGGATCCACACAGGGGAGAAACCTTACATCTGCTCAGAGTGTGGGAAGAACTTCTGGCAATAGACACACCTAATTGCTCACCAGCGAGTTCACAGAGGAGAAAAATCGTGCAAATCACCAGGCCAATTGCTGAATTACAACTCACAACACCCCTCCTCATTTCCTGTGATAGTGGGAGCTGGTGGTACTTGTAATATAGCTACAACCACTAAGTGACCAGTTGTCCAGTCCTCATAGCAGTTGGATTTTTCAATAGAAAGTTGGCACTTAAATCCCGTGCCCAGTTCATTTCTAGAACTGGGGAAATGTTCGTTCAAGCCAATATTTCTATCCTTTTTTCCTAATGCTTTGGATTTTAAAGATGGCGAGGAAGGAATCTATAGCCTATTGTAAACCAGTTTGTAATGTGATAATTCCATTTTACAGGAACTAAAATCTCAGTCATCTCCAAGGCTGATCCAGTGAAAACTGTTGGTTTACAGATGTGTTTTACAGGTAATCCTCAACTTAACAACTACAATTGAGCCCAAAATTTCTGTTGCTAAGGAAGACAAGTGGGTTTCACCCCATTTTATAACTTTTTACAACTTTTCTTGCCACCGTTGTCAATTGAACCACTATGTCGGGCTCCGAGTTCACTCGGAGCCCGTCAGCTCTGAATATGCCTCAAAGCAATGTCATGTCATGTCACCTTATCTCTGCTGCTGCCGGATCTGTATTTCTGCTTGTGTGCTGGCAGATGGCTTTGGAATGACCTAGCAGAGTTGAGGATGGATTCTGCAACAACTGTGGGGATGGAGGATGGATTCTGAAGCAACTGTGGGGCTGCAGGATGGATTCTGAAACAACAGCGGGGCTGCTGGAAATGGCTCTTTTCATGTATTGATGTGGAGCATATTGTTAAAGGGGATTGGGGCACATATAGGTGGTAATTAAGCCTTAGGTTAAAACATGGTGAAGGTGGCACCAGATGGGGATAATTTAGTGAGGGTCAGAATAGGGTAGGGATGTAGACATGTTACAGGGTTAATAGCATTTAGGGATAATGGGTTAGGCATGGCCAGAATTAGAACTGTGTATAGGCCTGGGTGTGGTAGGGTGTGTCTCATAATAATGGTAATAAAAGGAAAGGGAGCAAACTCAAACCCAACTCTAACCTTGCCTGGCTTTTAGTCTTTCTTGTCAGAGAAGAGTATTTGTTGTTTGCTGAGCTAATGAATAAACCATCATTGCACTACAAAGGAGCTGGAGTTTGTATTCATTTCAGGGCAAATCTTCAATACTCAAGGACTGGCTGAGACACTACAGTTCTTAATATATCTGACTTCGTAATTGAATTTGCTTGTTAGAAAGTTGCAAAAAGTGATCCCATGATTCCAGGTCACTGCAGCTGTCATAAATATGATGTAGAAGTCTGAATGATGAACATTGTTAATATGTGCTTGCTTTTTACGTGGATTTTTGTTTTGTTTTTGTATTTTTGATTGTGTAATCAACAGACTTAGTCTTGGATTTCCTTGTTTCTTCCCCACCTCCTGTCTTTGTGATTTCTGCCCAATGACATATAATAGAGAATATGAAAGTTTGCTGATTCTTAGGGCTGTTTTGGTTCATCCCAGGCAAGAGTTGGTTTTTCTATGGATATCTAGTGTAATAAATACAATGGTCTTCACTGTGTCATGTATTTTCTTTTCTTTTTGCCTTGCAAAACATTTCCAAAGGGAGTTTGAGCCCTTCAGACTAGGAATCCAATATCAGGTAGATTTTATTTTGTATGGCATAACAGAATAGAGAAGAGAAGGACCAGTGAAGAGAAGGACCAGGGGAGACATGATAGCAATCTTCCAATATTTGAGGGCCTGCCACAGAGAGGAAGGGGTCAAGCTATTTTCTAAAGCACCCAAAGGCCAGACAAGGAATAATGGATGGAAACTGAACGAGGAGAGATTTAACCTGGAAATAAGGAAAAACTTTCTGACAGTGAGAACAACCAACCAATGGAACAGCTTGCCTTCAGAAGGTGTGGCAGCTTCCTCACTGGAGGCTTTCAGTAAGAGATTGGACTGCCATTTGTCAGAAATGGTGTAGGGTCTCCCGCTTGGGTGGGGGGTGGACTAGATGACCTACAAGGTTTCTTCCAACTCTGATTATCTGTTATCTGTTATCTGTAATTCATATATATGCAAAGTGGCCATTTACAAGTAAGAGCCCTTAATAGAATAATAGAATAACAAAACTGGAAGGGATCTGGGAGGTCTTCTAGTCCAAGGCTTTGCTCAGAAGGAAACTCAATAACATTTCAGATAAATGGTTGTCTAAACTTTTCCCCAAAACCTCCAGTGTTGGAGCATCCCCAAATTCTGAAAACAAGCTGTTCCACTGGAAAGACCCCTCAGTAGGAGACATAAGTTGTTGTTGTTAAGCCTGGATTCCCCAACGGGTGTTAAGGAAAACAAACTAAACAGAACGTGCAGCGAAGTCAGATAGGCAGACAGGTAAATGTGTGAGATAAGCCTTCTCGTTAACACGCAGTAAAAATACAGATACGCTTGTGCTATCAAAAATATAGTTTATTCCATTTAAGAATTATAGCATAGTCAAAATAAACAGTCCATTAGTCATATATCAATTTCAGTCAAGTCTTGTCGGGGATACTCTATTTGCAAAGTCCGTGTTGAATAGCCAATGTCAGTACACTTACAATAAATCAGTCCAGTCTTTATCTTCTCACCGTTGAGAAAAATCAACACTCCTTTTTCTCTCCCCGTTTCCAGCAAGAACGCAGTCATCAATCCATCCAGTAATTAGGGATCAGTAAGCCAGAGAGAGCGAGCTGCAATTGCCTCGCTTCTTATATAGTGCTTTTACAACTACACCCTTAATTACATTCTTGCAGTTAAAGATACACACACTTTAACCAACAAACCATGATACCATATTTATTATTTTTACCCAAAACAGTTAGGGTAAACAATGTTATCCCTAACATTCTCCCCTTTTGTGTAATAATAATAATATTACAATAATATAACCATTTACATCTTTAAATCATAATTGTTACAACTCTCTTTAAATTTTACAACACCTTGAGCTTTTGTAAACTGGTCTGCAATATTTTCTTCCGTCATGCAGTACTCAAGTTTAATTAGACCATTTTTTACAGATTCTCTAACATTTAAGTATCTTAAATCAGTATGCTTTGATCTAGTCTTTACAGCAATATTAGTAGCTAACTGTATGGCTGTCTGGTTGTCCTCATATACAATAATAGAATCTTTAACAGTTATACCCATGTCTAATAATAACTGTTTGTACAGAATTAAGTCAGTGCATAGTAATGACAGACATGAAAATTCTGCTTCCATCGTTGACAAGCTAATATGCTGTTGTCTGATTGACCTCCACCCTATTAGTGTCTTACCAAGTAATATAACTATCCCAGATGTTGATTTTTTAGTATTTATGTCAGTTGCAAAACTTGCATCTGCATAGGCACTAAGATTCAAATCACCTTTTGGCTCTAGATACAATGCATGGTGCATTGTTCCTTTAAGATATCTTAAAATTCTCTTTAATGATTGCCAATGACATTGATGTGGATCATTATTATATCGTACCAGCTGATTAACACTATAAGCTATATCTGGCCTTGACCAATTGCTTATATATGATAAGCTACCAATCAAAGATTGATATATGGTCTTATCAAATTTGGGACTTTGAGCATCCATTTTGCAAATCTCCTGACTCATTGGAGTCTTTGCAGGCTTACAAAGTTCCATTTTATACAATTTAATTAATTGGCAAATTTTATCCTCTTGAGATATCTTAAATCCTTTTGTGGTTTTGTTTATTGTCAATCCTAGATACTTTTTAATTTCACCTAAATGCTTTAATTTTATCCTTTTGGCTAATAATGAAATAATCTCAGTAGCTTCATTATTGGTCTTAGTAATCAAAGCAATATCATCTGTAAATAATAACAATAATGACACCGTTCCATTATTTTCTCTTTTAAACATACATGGATCTGCTAAACCAGATTTAAACCCTATATTGTTTAATTCTTTCACAATATATTGGTTCCATTCATAGCTAGATTGTTTCAATCCATATAAACTTTTCTTGAGTTTCCAACAATCATTGCTATTTACTTTATTATCATTTATACTAACTGGTTTTTTCAAATATATTGTATGCTGCAATGGTGCATGCAGATATGCAGTTTCTACGTCTAAATGGTTAATTATATAATTATTCTTAGCTGCCCATACTAGAGCTGCTCTTAAAGTTGTAGCCTTAAGATTTGGTGCAAATACCTCATCATAATCAAATACATTTTGGTTAAATCCTTGTGCTACTAATCTAGCTTTATAAGTTACTTTCCCATTATTTCCAGTCTTTACTTTGAATATCCATTTGCACCCAATGGATTTTTCTTCTGGAGGTAATTTGGTTTCTTCATAAACCTTCATTTCCTTTAATGAATTTAACTCTTTTTCCATTGCCTTTTGCCAATTCTCCTGATCCTTAGCAGGATACATCAAGTTCATCTATGCTAGTAGGAACTTTATTTACTTGGCAAACAATACTCGCCTGATATCTTTCAGGTGGTCTAGTTATACGCGTTGTGCGTCTAGGTATAACAGGACTTACAGGTGGACTTTCCTTTATTTCCTATTCTTGACTATCTATCTCTTCTTGATCAATTATTTCCTCTTGATCTGGTTCTATTTGTTCTTCATGGACTTCTTCTTTAATTGGACTTTTCTTATAACTAGTCTTTTCTTTCTGCCTCTTATAGGGTTCTATAATAACATCATTATCTGAATCTTGCTCTAATCTATTCCATCCTATATGTTCTAGGAATTGTGTACTAGCACTGCAGTATACTTTAGATGTACCTGGTTCCCAGAATCTATAAGATCTATGGTTTGCTTGATATCCAACAAAAATTAAACTTTTAGCTCTATGTTGTCCTTTGTGCCTGAGTTGTGTAGGGATATATACCCATGCTGGTGCACCAAATGTGTAAATATAACTCAAATCAGGTTTCCTACCAT